ATGTTTTAATGCAATTTATATCAGACGATGAAATAAATGTTCTGTGTGTACGTCCTAAGCGTTTCTAGTGCTGACTCACATTTATCAAAATCTTCTGGTGTATTATTTCAAATATTTCTCCAGATATATTTACTCATGAATTTGGTCCAGTATATGCTTGCCCTTCAACATTTGACAAGTCAGGTATACAAAAATACTTTTAGTTTCAAAAATTATGTAGAGGTACTTTGAAAGACTTGCACCTACCCCATTGTTTATTTCCATTGTGAAAAATATAATTCACCTTTTTGTTTTCTTAACTGGGGTGGGGTGTCTTCAGCTGTGTTGTTAAGAGGGAGTGTTAATCAGAAATGAGAGAAAATGAGACTATTCTGCAATGCGGAAGAGACCAGTCACAATTTTGGTTCAGTTTCCTGTGATCTATTGAGCAAATGGGCCCTGCTCTTGTTTGCTTCAAACACTAAGTAGCTTTTCTGCATGTATAGTCTTTATTGCTTGTGACGTTAAATCATGGATTCTCAACCCTTTTCTAGCTTTGGTCCCATTTGACACCTCTTCAAATTTTTTCTGTAATTTACAGCACAATACATCATAGTACAAATAATTGTACACTTAACTCCAAGAAAATGATTGGGCAAAGAATATGAACGAATGTTTATTAGTTGTTTTTTGATACTATTATCAGTTCTAATTTTTTCATTTATAAACAAGTTTTTAGAAACAGAAACACATTGTAATCTACGCAAGGTTTGATTTTCAATAATGACATAATGTATAATTCCAAAATAGGAATGAATTTGTAGTTTAATGTTATAGGTTTTGAAACATTATATAGGAAACAATTAAATATCAATTATATTTTTTGTATATAATGGGATCTTTATTAAACTGATTACGCATTGGTATATATTTGGTTATTGTCTCTTTCTCTATTTATTGAACCCCCTTTTAAATTTTCATTACCACTAGGAGCTTGATACCAATCCCATTGGTAATGGAATTCCAGCTTGAAATAAATCTTAATATTTAAAAATCTACACGTAAGTATATGTTCCAGAATAACTCTGTAATATGTGGGACATTTTCTGTCTAACTTGGTACATATCTCATTCAATATAGAAAGGGAGAGAAACGAAAAATTGCTGTTGGTAAGATACTCAGCACTGCTAGAAATTTGGGGGCGAAAAGCGACATTTAAAATGAAAATGGAGTATGAAAGTAGCAATGCTGAAAGAGGGGGCAGAGGCCGATCCAGTAAGTATTTCGAAGGGGTACCAATTTCAGTTCATACTCCCCTAGATTCTGTTTCGTTAGCTTGAATTAAAAAATGTGCGCATATACATAATCCCTCATTTACACAATTCAAAGATACTGAAATAATCTGTATTCTGTTGGATTATAATATAAATCCGTTTTATCTTTTCGTTAATTTGAAACAATGATCAGTAATATCCACGTGTTGTCGCCGAACGTAGAGTGGACTATTACTACCTTAACCCAGTCAGTCATTGCCTTTTATCTCTTCGGCTAGAGGCTCGGAGCAGTTAGATCCCCAGACTTCGCCCATCCAGGAACCCCCGATATATTGAGTTGCTTAACCTCCGTGAATTCTAGCCGAGAGTTAAGCATTCGGCTAACGACGCCGGCGTACTGTTCGTTTGCAGGGAGGTCAAATTTGTTCGTGCTAACGAAGGTCACTGAATTTATAATGGGAATTACTGTTTGTGGAGAGATCTATTACTTTTGTTTTTTAGCCTGACAGTGACGTAAAATTACCTGTGACGTCATCCAATGCGGAGCTTGAATGCTCATTACGGTGACGTCACTGGCGTCGTTTAAGCTCCCGATTGGATGAAACCGTCAACAGCTGATCAACGTGAAGTGCCATGTTTATACACAACACACACACACATATATATATATATATATTATATATATATATATATATATATATATTATATATATAATATTGTAGTATGTATATGTATATCGTATATATATATATGTGTATAATATATATGTGTTATTATATATAATATAGTACTATATATTGATTTATATATATATATTATATATATATATATATAATGTGTGTGTGTGTGTGATTTTGGATAAATAGAGTATAGTTACTTTTGATAAATCGAGGGCGGGGGGACGGCCCACCGGCACTGAGGGGCGGACGTTGCTGTAACGGATGAAATAATATTGCCTGGAAACTAGTCAAGCGACTAAGGATCGGAGAAACGTAGGGGGCAGGGTCGAATTTACCTACAAGCAGAATGCAGCAGGGGCTCCAGTGGGAGGAAGGAATTGTTCATATTTTTGTCTTGTTTGTATCTATAAAAAATTGTTAATAAAATATTACCATTTATCAATCGAAAATTTTGTTTTATTACTATGTAGTAAATTGGAGCATACTCCAATTTACCAAGCATTTTTGGAAAGGTTGACTCAACGCGATCTTGTGCTTGGGAGCTGCATAGTACCTTAATCCAGCCCTGCGTGTAGGGGCAGGGTCTTTTACTCAACTACCCTTTATGGAGAATCACCCCATGTTTTTTTTAACTATTACACCTCAAGAAACATTAATGATAGGGTGAAGTTGGAAAACAAAGTAATGCAGACTTAGAAATGCGAAGGCAAATATTATTTAATACCATAAGTCTGTTCTTTAATGACGCCCAAATTACTAAACACGTTTTTTATATAGTTCAGTGGTGTAGCTAAGGGAGAGGGGGGTGTCTTGAGGTTTTACCCCCCCCCCTTTCCCGACGCCAATAATACATATTAAAATATAGCTTTTTACTAATTTTCTCTTAACGAAAACCTTTCATAAATCAGTTGCTTACGTAGTAGATATTAGATAACAATAATACATTTCATACTCTTCAGTCATAAATGAAAAATTATTTGAGAAAACATGAATTCGGCTGGACACCATAACTGGTACCCCAACCCCTTCCAGAAAAGAAATTCTGATGCGCATCTATTGGAGTTGAAATTTCTTTTAAAAAATCTGGGGCTATTATACTTCAATTTATTTCTAGGAGCACTTGACGTAAGTCAGCTGATTGATTTAACGTAAAGTGACATAAATCTAAGAATAAAGTGAAACCCTGAGGAGTCGTTAGTGTGTGTCTTGGCATGCATAATGTCAAGAACTCATTACAAAATGGACAAATGGTAGGTTTGTATATCGTTACATCTATATTCTAAATACAACATTCTTTACACCTATTTACATCCTATCACTCACATATTTTTACCACCTATTTCACAAATGTAATAAGCTTTTATAAAACAGTCCAACCGATTTGGCAGCTACGGCGTGGCTGTTGCTGGCTACATAACGGCAGGTTATGTGCTCAAATAGTAATTGCGCTCGTTAGCGGTTATCTCATTTTGTAAATGCCTTCGACACCTCTTGCAATGCTATAGTCCAGCGTGACTTTTTGGCGCTAACTTGTCTATATAATGTTTCTGCGTGAAATACTGGCAACAGTCACAGCTGGGAGACAACTCAAATATTACGACCTTTAATCCCCAACCTTGTCGGCGATATTGGGATGGATGGGGTGATAATGGTGGTGGAGCAATAGAATGAGATGCGAAGAAAACCGGCGAACGGGGGGAAAAATAGTGCCGCAGATCCCCGTTAATGCCACGTAGATTGGGATTGGCCAGGATTTTCACCCTGGTGCTCAGAGGTGGAAGGCAAAGTGGCCTGACTACAGGTCGTCCTGCCGGGTAGCAAGTGTGCGAAATGCGCAGAACTATTAAAATAAAGGCTCAGTGTTGTTTTCAAGTGCCGCAATTCTTTCCTGAGCCTGAAGTCTAGATGTCTTCCCATTCCCCAGTCCAAAAGAATGCCGCCCCTGGACAGAGCAGCCTTAACGTGTGTATTTCTTGTTTCCTGACGCGTCTTCGAATACTTAGGTCATTAGCCCTTCGTGTTATACACGAGAGAGGCGAGGGTGGCGTCCCTCTCTCGCTACGAGAGTCCCGGCGACGAACTACACATTGGCTTGCCCGGTTTCCCCTGCTAGGTCTCTTTCCGCCACGGCTGGGACAAGCTCTCAGCGCCCGATGTGTGTGGTGGTATGCATGTAACTGTCTCTCTACGTGTTCATACCTATGAAAGGGCAGAGGATGTGACAAGGATGAGGAAATCAGCCCGTCGTTCGGGATTCGCCTGGTATTAATGGAGAAGCCAACGAAAACTACTTATCAGAACAGCAGGTCGCTAGAATGTCCACCTTCCGACACTACCAACCATCTCGTTCAGGGTTGTCCAATTGGCGGCCCGTTTACTGTGTCCCGCAAAGGGTTATTAGGCAGAAAGTAAGGTCCTTTTCATTCACGGCGGGCGAGATCATGGTGCGCTTAGGGCACACGCCCGGCCGTCGTCAACACCCTTAATGTAAAAAAAAATATAGGTTAAATTAAGATTTAAGAATTTTTTGTAGTAAATTCAGAAATTCAAAAGCATCCAAATGTGTTTCACTGCGTGTTTTATGCTTAGTACGGCCTGGTATCATGCATGGTTCCTATCCCTCCCTCCCCCTTCAGAGCATCCGAGCAAACTGCTGAGATCAACAATACGGGGAAGTCAGATGTGGATCGCCTGAGCCATGAAAATATGGCCCAAACAGTCGTATTAAAGGTTCTAGTTGTAGCCCTTGAGGCCTTGCAAGTTAAACATTCCTGATGAAGCTATACTGCGATTGATCCAAGTCTGTCCCTGGCAGGTATCAGCTGTTTACAGTTTCATCCGATCGGGGGCTTAGTGATGGTACTGTGGTGACGTTCAATCTCCCGATTGGAGGAAACCGTCAACAGCTGACACCTGCCAGGGGCAGAATGGGATAAATCGCAGTATAGTATCGAAAATCCGCCTCTGTCGAGACTCGAAACCTACGACCTCCGGCCAACGCCGCTGCGGAGGCAAAACCCTGTCGCCAGTTCGCGTGTGTGATGTGTGGTGTTGGGTGTGTTCGCAGAGCACGTGTGGCAGGTCACCGTGCAGAAGAAGGGCCTGGGCAACAGCAGGCACATCCTGGGCCCCTACTTGCTCTGCCTTACGGACAAAACCCTGAGTCTAGTCAGCAAAAGTCAGGAGGAGAAGGCCAACAGGGACACTTACGAGTTCGGGGTAAGTGCAACGAGTTTCCTTCAATGATTGCGATTATTATACGCGCACGTTTTTGTTTTGAGCCCTTCCCTACCCTTCTACTCCATACCAACGTAGTTGCAACGAATTATTATTGAATTCCTTTACCAATAGGTATAGTTGAACATTCTTGATATTTAATAATGATGTATAGCTAAACAGGTGAAAAATGTGTCAGAAACACTGAAAAACAATAAATGATTAACAAAAGTGTGAATATCCAACAAAACGAATAACTATAGATATCAATATACGATCAGTTAAAGTAGCTATTACCAATGAAAATGTCTATAACAAGCGTTGTCAGAATAGTGAACTAACTTAGTGAATTAGTGAAGTGGATCATAATAGCAAATGTATTACCAGACAGCGAACTAACTATGTTACAAGGTCACTCGGCACATATCTTCCCTGAGAAATCAGCACACCTTAGCCTTACATGGGATTGTTTAGGCTAATATAATAATAATAATAATAATAATAATAATAATAATAATAATAATAATGATATTTAATAACTAATATTTCGCTCCCGTGTAATAAAAAATATTTGTATCGACTTACGAGTTTTGATTGTGAAGTACTGCCCCCCTCCAAAAAGAAAAGCCCCCTCTCCTTTCGCATCTAGCGATATAAGGGCCCAAGAAAATTTGCGCGGATTATACCATGAAACACGTTTTAATACAGGACCCAGAGTGCCGCTGGAAGCTTCTCCACTTGTCTGTGAAGGTGATAATGGTGTCCAGAGTTCATCCCCTTTCTCTTTCATCTGTGATGGGAATTACCTACACGTTTTCTTTTCAAAAAAATTGTCGTTGGACCTCAGTGACATTTACGAGAGAGGGGGGGGGACTGGCAATATTATAAACTACGGGAAAACAAATAAAAAATTAATCCTGAAAAGGAGAGCGCCGGGAAATTTCGTTTATATTTTTTAAATTATTGTAGTTTTGCTGGAAATGGTACAAAATTCAGATGCGTCGTCGTATTTGTTAATTTAGTTCTGTTATGGTGAGGGCTGTGAAAATCGAAAGAAACCTTATATGGGCCATAAATTACGTAACGCAACAACACCCCCCCTTGTAAACGCTAGATGGCAAAGTAAATAGGACAGTCAAAGTAATTTTTATATATTTTATTCGTGTTATGTATTAAAATGTATGATAATAAAGTCAGAATTAGTTTGCGTTGCTGGCTGCGCCTAATAATAAGTCAGGGGGCAAGTTGTGAGTGACTGCAAGCACTGCTTTATATGGTCGTCGTCATGCGACATCTAGCGGCACGACCGAGAAAGACGCGAAATACCGTGACATATTCCATTGCGAAGACGGACTCTGAGAGGCAGCTAATATAAAAATTGCACTGTAAATCTGCAGCTATCGCGTTGTTCTTACTTCGGAAAAGGTTGCGGGAACAATCCCGGCCATCCTTTACTACAGGTGTAGAATGGAATTTTACGCGCACGTTTTCTATAGGCCCCAGACCACATACCCCATTCACCCTTTACTAACATTAATTGAATTGAGACTAATGAATAGCAACAAGCGTTATAGGCAAAATCTGATAACCAGAAATGTTCGCTCGCCTGTACTACAAACAATTTTGTATAAAAAAACACTAGCTACAGATTTGTTATAATAAACGGTCGTCGAAGTAACCTGACTCCACTCCTCTCATTCTGAGCTAATTGAGGGCTCAAGAAAACTTGCAGGTAAAATAGTATAGTAGTAGTAAAATATGGTGTTGCCGACGCGGTAAAAATAGTTTTATGTCTTGAAAATTTATTTCATACATACTTCTTTTTTTTCATACCCAACTTCGTTCAAATTTGTTATTTCGGTATCTGCCATTGGACTTGTCAATGAATCGAAGTAGCTGTTAATGTTATACTCCCGTTCAAAAGTTCCCAACACTCAATATCTTTGTATGTTATTATACGCGCACGTTTTCTTGAGACCCGGAATACCTACCCCCACTCCTTGGCCAACATTAGTTGAATTAAGAAAAAATGATAGCAACGAGCGTTGTAAGCAAAATATGATAACCAAAAGCGTTCGCCCCCGTGTAATGAAAACTATTTTGGATCGAAAAACGAACTAAATTTTTGATTTAAATTTCCGTTTTTCAAAATAACGGAACTCCCCATTTCATCTCTCAACTAGCGAAGAGGACTCAAGAAACTTTGCGTTGGTAATACCTCCATACGGAATGTGATCTGCTCTTATTGCAATTTCAAAATTATGATTCCAGTAACAAATACTTGCAGATTTTAATGATGCTTACCTTTTTTCGCGTTTTTGATAATATGCACATAGCACATTTGCATTAGCACAAATGCAGGTAATTTCCAATGAGTTCCGAAAATTCTATCGCAACGTCTTTTACAACTACATCTGATTCTTCCCCGGATTTCCGTAACACTTCCATATTTTCTCCCCTAATTTTTGAAGAGATTAAAATATAACAAACTCTGTCTAATTTGTATTCACTTCTATTTCTGCAATTTCCCTATCAATCGTTTTCTATGCGACTCTACCGTTTCATGCGAAATCTAACATTAAAAGGCGATTGTTTTGTATGTTTACGTGAATAAGGTGTTAGTTAAGTTTAATAAGAATAAGTTGTGGGTCACATTCATTTCAAAATCGGTATTTGCACACTTATGTAAGAACGTGAAAGTGAGAAGTCGAACATAAAGTTCATTTCCTCTCTAGCATTACTCACAAGTTTTCTTTTCTCCGTATTCACTTGAAATTCTTCAAGTTTAGTAAGTTCCGAGGCAATACTGGTCGTAGGTTTTCGCAAATTAATTTTTTTTAATATAATAATGCTGATCTAAATTAAAAACAGTCTGCAGCGCGATTTACTTGATAATTCAATTTCTCACTTGAAGATGTCATCAGTGTTGCCAACGTCGTGAAAGAAAATTATGGCGTATTGAGCGAAAAATACATTTGGGTTCTGGTGTTTAATCAACGCCACCTACATCGATTTAGGAAGCGTTGGTTCAATTCGTGGCATTATCACTAAGATCACAGCACCAAAACACGCAAAACCACGTATTTGGACATTTCTTTGAATGTTGTGGCTGGATCCGAAAACAAATTACCAGTTCCCCATCAGAAGACCGTGACGCGTCGCGTGACATCTCAAATCTCGTTTGGTGCACGGGCAGTGGTCTAGCCGCGAGTGACGGAACCGCACCTGCGTTTGTACATATGAGTGTGAATGCTAGTGGGAACGAGAAATAAAATAAAAGAAGAAAATGGAACAATTCAAAGAAATCCAAATTAAATAATTAAATTAAAAGTCTAAAAACTAACAAACCCCAAAGTGTGAATGTATATAGTTATAAGGTAGTTTTAGCTAGTCTGTAAGTAAAAAGCCCTCCTTAACTGCAAAACCCTAATCGTCTGCAGTTGAAAGTAGTCCCGAAAGTCAAATAAATTCCCGCCTCTCCAGGGCTACTGGAGAGGGGAAAATCGAAAGAAAAAACAAAAAACAAAAAAACGACGGAACCGCACATTCGAATATACGCACACTCGGAGTTTTACTTAAATACTTTATAGGGATAGTATTAGAACAGGGTTGTCGTGGATATGTGCATCACCGTCCTGTTTGCTCGTGTTGGGACCGCTTTATGCGCTTTCAGCGCTCGCCATGTGGGCCTTCGGATTAGGAATGCGACATCGTCAACAAATCATAATGTTTCCAAACAATGAAAGTCAAAAAGAAAACATCGCTGATTTTAAAACTGCTAAAAAGCTCTGGCAACATCGATCGTGCGAGGAAAGGTAATTTGGCGGTGACCGAGTTTATTAATTTTGTAATTGACAGTCCTCTAACGAAACAATAAAAATATAATTAGAATAATTGTATCGTTTGATGCAGACACCGCTCCCCTCGATTTTCAACAAGGGAAAACGTAATTATTTTACACCCGATTGTGCATCAAACGAAAACTAGTCAATTGTTAATACCTCAGCACCTCTCGCTAGATCGAAAATAATTACTTAATGAAATATTGTAGTTCCTGCCATACTAAAAATTAATTTATAACTTGAAAAAGTCGAATTCAAACGAATCGCCTCTCGTGCTTATCTGCATTTATTTCCTTTGTCGAAAGAGTAGTCATTTTTTCCTTTTGAAACGAGACGAACATGTATACATTTAAATGTTACAGCTTTTACAGGACATTATACAGAAAGGCAATAATAATTTCACACAAGCTTACTCTGATAACATTTGAAGTAACCTTCAATTTTTTAAATTCCATTGTCACCGATTAAAACTGCTTAAAGTATAGACGTGTGTTAATTAGTTATTAGTTAAAATTCATTACCTCCCTTCAGTCTTCCTTTCATAAAAATATTATCTACATCATACAGTCATCATAACTGACAATTTAATTAATTCGAAGATTTTAAAACCTCTGTGTTGCAATTTTCCGAACTGGCAACGCCTGAAACGAAGCGCGCAAAATTCGAATTTACACTTTCGAACTACATTGCAAATTTCGAAAATGCAGAGTGCGCCGAAAATAGGACCATCACCCCTATCAGTTCTTTGCTATATACGATGGAAAAAATGAAAGACAAAATTTGAAGCCGTTTCTGAGAAAAATTGTTTTAAAAGTGCCTAAAGTTCATCTAAAATTACGCAAAAAAAAAACTCGTATTTTCGAAATATTGAACATGAACTCTTTTGAAGAATTGTTTTTGATGAACACAATTTAATAAGAAAAAATATCTTGAAAATTGTAGTTGTAGATTAAAGACGCCGAAAAAAATTGAATTTTTGTAATTTTCAAAAAATTAAGGTTTTTAACATGAGACCTGTACCATTCTCGAAAATCTCCTTCACTTTATCCAGCAACAAATTTTAATAAAAAACAGTGAATATTTTTAATTGTAAAAATTAAAATGTCGGTCACTAAAATATTCATGGAGTCGTGTCATCAGCCAGATCAATTGGGAAATATAATTTTTGGAAAAAATCGGCTGAATGGTGTTAACCGCTAGCGTTGTTCACACACAGATGGACGTTTAGCCATCAGACAATTTTTCGGTGTCAGTGTCCCACAAAACGTGGATTCTGGCTACACCACGTATTTTAGTTGTATTTTTTGTTGTTTTTTCTCTCTAAATTTAGCAACTCGATTTATCCTCTTATTTCGTTACAAAGGCCCGGCAATAAGAGTTTTTCTGCCGAAAATTCGTCGGTTTTACCTATAACATTATGTTTCTGTTCTTAAGTACCTTGTTAAGGGCGAGAAAGTAAAAATTATAGACTACATTCTTCAAAGAAATATAGTCTCAATTTATTTTTGATCCTTGGTCACATAGGTCCGAAAGAAAGTTTAATTTATGATATATGCATAATGAATTTTTGGCCATCCGGGGGACGCCGCGTCGTTGGCTGAGAGGCCGTTCTTTCGACTGACATGTCGCAGGCTTCCTCAGGGCAGTGACGACCCTGCCCTGAGGAAGCCTGCAACAGGTCAGGCGAAACGTCGGACTCTCAGTCAACGACGCGACGTCTCGCGGATGGCCAAGAATTTATGGATTCGAACCGCGGAAGCTTACGTGTGCATATCTGCTTCTTTTTTTCCTCAACACACATGAGATCTGCATCATTCTCGTAAATGTCCTTCTCAATATCTCTCTCCCTCCTCCACCCTACCCCACCCCGCCCCAAAAATCAAATCACATTTTGACAGTGCTGTATGCTAGGGTGTACACAGGATTTCCAGAAATGGGTTCAGAACTAAATGGCAAACTAAAGATTAGACCATTCTCTTCATAGAGTACGATTATTTCTATAGATATGGCTTGGCTTCTTGCTGAGCATTGCAGCATTTGTTGAAGGATACTGCACTACCTGTCAAGGGCTGCATCTAGTACAGATATAGGGCTCTTCCCCTTGGTTTTTCTGGTCCTTTTGAACAAAATTTAAAACTTGACATTTTGTTGTTGTGCCTATCAAGGATTTAATTTTTTAAATTTTTATCTGTTTAGAAACATAAATCACAATATGAAACAAAATTTAGAAAATTTGTTTTAGAGCCTGAATATTTGAAGGAAAACTCTTGAATTCAAAAGCTTCACTAGCCTCCCTGTTGTTATAACCAGGGCTCAGATTCTGATGACCTAAAATTTTTTTGAATACGACCAATAAAATTTCTTGAAAATAAGAGGAAAATGACTTATAATAAGGAGAAAATAACCTAATTTTTTTAAATATGCTAAAACTTGTAGGAAAATGTTTATTCAATAAATTTTACAATTTTAAATACAATTTATTTATATACAATTATATATAATATAAAGTCTTTATTTTGGGAGGAAATGTAAACCTTAGCTCCAATCTTCGAACTGCCTCTTTTGAAAAGTTGAGGAAGTTTCTGGAGATCCATGTAATTTTGAGAGTTGGGAATACAGAGTCCACTACAGTAGAAAAATTTCATCATGAATTGATGACACATCAAAAACTTTTAGTGTGTCATTGTAAATTGAAACATTCACTAACGAAAACACAAAAAGGAAACTAAATGCTTAAAAATGACAAAAATGATGCAAAGGCTTGAAACATGACCAAAATGACCCCAAAACTGTATATTTCTATCACCTGTATGTCATGATAAACATTTGTTTACAAGTTAGCTACGTCTAGAATGCACCAATGAAAAGATGACATGTTATCAGAATATGAGCCCTGGGCATAGCAATTTAATCAATAATTGAATTAGTTTACTTAGAAATTCATTGAGGATTGCTTTCTAGATGTGTATGAAAATGTTGGTTTGTATTTTGCAGTTGATGTGCATTCGGCGATGTGGGCACTCGGACTGTTTTTTCTACATGGAAGTGGGCAGGTCAGCTTGCACTGGTGCAGGTGACCTTTGGATGCAAACAGAAGATCCCAACATTGCCCAGAACATGCATGCTGCTATTTTGAGGTGAGAATTAGCAATAAGGCACCAGATGAAAAACAGCATGTTTATGTGAATTTTTAAATGTATGTTCACATGAAAAACTATTTTCAACCATACAACCACCAAATAACGATCTCATGATGTGAGATGTCTAGACAATGTTTTATTTCTTTATTTTTATTTGATCACAATGTGTTGGGTTTGCAGTGCCATGAGCAACAACAGCTCGAAGGAGGATGTGGTTCCGAGGCCTCGAACCCGCTCGTCCTCCGCCATTGAGGCGTCAAAGCCCATCTCGATGATCCCTCGGAAGACGAGCCACTTGGGTCCGATGAAAACATCTTCGTACTACTCCACATCAGGTATTGCCCTTCAGGTGTTCTTTTCTTTGCATCTGATGAATGATTCAGCAGGTCTCGGAGCAATTTCCTTTTCCTGAATTGGCCACAGCATATTGTGTTATTCAAATTTCGTTGCCTCCAGGATATCTAAAAGGAATATTAACAGGTTCTCCCAACTGACGCTCCTGCTGCTTCAAGGTTGAAGCCATTAATATTAATGGATTTAAATGTGAACTGAATTTGTTTTGTTGTTCTGTTTTGTGAATACATCAGAACAAGTTGAAGGATGAGTGTTGGAGGATAGACTGCCTGTGAGCTATCTCTCCATGGAATTGAAGTTAATCATTTTATGTCCGTTACACATTCACAGATCTTAAGTTCTTCGAAGAAATGTTCGAAAGGATAAATAAATTCAGAATATTGAATTGACATAGTAGATTGAGGATTTTAATGAACCATCCAAAGATATATTTCAATTCTAATACAAAAACATTCTAGCATATAGCAAGTTTATCCCTGGAATTGTTTCTCTAGAAAACATTCTTTGTAATGAATATAATAAATATATAGAATTATCGTTGTTCTATACTTTAAAATGTCCAAGGCAGTTTTCTACTATTTATTTATATTGTTGTATATTATCCTTTTAACCTTTTCTCTAAAGTGTATTTGTTTGTATATCACTGCCACGATTCAAATAAGTATTAGTAATATTTTCATAAATATGGCAAATGACACTTAAGAATTATTGTTGTCGTCTTAGGAATAAATTCATTTTTATTATTTTATTAAATTAATTATTTCATTTAGCAATTGGATCTGCTTAAAATAAGAATATGAAGTAATATTGCCAATTCTTCCAGTTGTCATGATAAAATTAAATTAATAGTCATATGTGATGGAATACTTCAGAATTCAAGGGTGAATTACTTGAAGTTGTGAAGCTCCTAAATTTTTTTAAAATTAAGTTAATGTTCACCCTCTTGTCTTCGTGTCATGGAGCATAGAGCAATTTCAGCAGGAAGAGTATTTGGGGATTTTTAAGACAATAGTTTGATCTTATTGAAAAATGATTTACTCGCTGCCAAAAATCATGGAATGATCATTTTATTTTTTTACTTCTGTCCCTGGAAAATTATTAATGGAAAATAAGTAGCCAGGTCTTTTGACCTGGCTCTCAAAGACATTTTTAATACTATTGTTAAAGGAATTCTGGAATGGATTTCAAAGCATCATTTATTTAATTATACACAATTTTGTAAGATTTCTTTTTAAAACAAGAAATCACTATCTTCGTCCTCTCATAATCCTGAAGCATATTGTCATTCTGGACTGCTAAAGTACTAGAGCAGCATTAATATTAAGTGGGTAAAAGATTTGAAATTCTTCTAGGAAATGAAAACTGTTTTTGTTAATGAATGGTAAAACTATTGAATCCTCATTTCTGTGTGTTATTTATCACACAAATTTAACATTATTTTTTGACGGGTTGATATTTCTTATTGCAGAAGAAGCTTCTCGGGCCGGTGCTCATCTCAACTTTGTACCCAACCGGGCTCAACCAGCAGCTACATACACAGAACATCCTTCCATGTCACCTTCTACCCCAGAAGCTCTGCATAGTCAGGGTATATTGGATATATCTACCTTACTATTTTAAGACTTGTAGCACATAAAATTATAAATATATATAAAAAGAACTTGGTAGTAGAGTTGGTGTTTAGAAGCTTCATTTGCTTGTACATTGGTAGTTTGTAGTAAGTAGGCAGGACACAATTGTGCTGTAGTGTGCTCTTGAATCTGCTTTGTTTTGTTGCTGTTGCTTTATTAGGTTAATTGACTACAGTGCCACTGAGAAATTTTATATTCTTGTCTGAAATTTGATCAGAATCGAAAGGTGTTCATTACAAAGGATCATATTCTTCGTAATGTAGTATTGATCATCTTTAGAGATATTTTTTGGAATTTTTTATGTATCATTAGAACGAAAAGGGCAATTTGGAACACTGCAGCATATTGTATTAATTTCAATCTAGTTTGAAAACAGAAAGTTTTGAGGATGGCAAACTTGTAGAAACTTCTGATTTGCAGTTTTGATGACACTTTTATCATTTTAATGTTTCTTTTTATTTGCAAGTGGATGGACAAAAATTATTTTGGCCTTTTGTCTAGCATGTTCTTCAGATCAAAAGATATGCTTTAGCTTAAAACCAGGCTGCTAAGAGTATTCACAGTAATTGCCCTCATTTGGACTGAACGGATTTTGAAGAATTGTACTAGGACTTTCTAACAGGTTTAAAAATGAAATTCTTTTTAATCTGAAATTCTAAGCTGTCATATATACAGCATAAAATTAACGCAATATGTCACTTTCTTTGATGCCCCTATGTGGACTGTCATTACCGACTTTTAAAGATCATGTTCATCTGGGGGAGGGATGGGGAAAACTTATCGTAAAAAGAAAGGGATTAAAAAAGGTTCATCAAAATTGGAGGTGGGAGGTGGAATTTTGTTTTTTGCAGATCTTCACTTGTGACTGTGTACTTGAGACTGGGAGGTAAGCAACATTGTGTTTCGTGTTTTATCAAAAGCCATTTCTTTACAGCCAGATATCTTCTACCAAACAGATAAGAAGTAACATCTATGTGATAATTGCTCATAATTGAAAGATGGCAAAGATGCCCTTGATGCATGGTGATGGTTAATTTAGTCTGGCATGTGGTTATGCAAAAATATTGTAGTTTGGCCAATGTGGGGTATAGTGTAGTTTTTCTGGTAGCTGAACAGTATGCATGTGGTTGTGCGCAGAAGATTAAATGTGGCATTTGTGTGGATTTTGTGAAATAGTTGATGGAGAATATGAAATATTACATTCACATGTAATTTTTTTTGGTATTAAATGTCAGTGGTTTTAATCGTTGTGAATGGGAGAGTGATTTTTAGTGGTATATTAGCTATCATTGTAGAACCCGCCGATCTCAGCTGTTTATTAAGTGTCATTCTAATTTTGGAATGTGGTTTCCGCTATTCCGATGTTAACATGGTGCAGGAGCCAAAAGGGAGCTAAAGGCTAACAACTGTCATGGATTTGCTTTTTGATGTTTTGTTATATTTTGCTGCTCCTACGTTTTTATAAGGGAAATTACTTTTCTTTATGTGAAAAGTTTGCTCTTATTCACTGCTTATGTGTGGTTATTTGTGGCTGTTGCTACTGCTGTGTTTGTGTGTAAGTGTGAAGTTGTGGGCGATGTTGGTTGGTTGTTGGTTTCAGTTTGCGTCGGTAGCCTGCCTGGTAGTTACCACTGCCACCATACTCACCATCGCGTGGCTCCACTCCACCATCCCCCGGTCCCCACGCCAGCAGTTCGGCCGTCCCAGAGGAGACATTCCGTGTCAGGTATTCATCCCGAAGCAACTTGTACAGACTTACTTCTGGAGCTGATTGTGTTCGTTCTTTCTTAAGTTTTTTCCGTGGCCTTCGTGGTTTTTCCAGCAATACCACTAATGATAAATTGCAGTAGAATCTCCATCTACAGTAAAACCCCTTTTTTTACATTTTTCAGGGGACTGACTAAGGTGTAAAATACAGGAAACTTGAAAACCAATAGGCTAGGCGTGTACTTTCATTATTTACTGCAATGGTAGCTCTGTTTTTATTATCTTGCTCTTCGTTAGAAGAGATAGTAAAACCGTGTGCAGGAATCAGCGATTTTCAGCAGAAAATCTCTTATTGACGGGCCCTGGTATTGGGTAAAAGTGGATAAATCATATTCCTATATATATAGTAAATTTCTTCCTCTAACGTGTGGTGTAGCCTGAATCCCTGTTTTATGGGTCTTTGAAACCGCTAAATCAATTGACAGCAACATGTCTGTTTGTCTTTCTGTGGTCAAAGCGCGCCTAAACTGCCTGCCTATTTTCTCCAAAATTGATATACCTTGATCTGAATGAACTCGTGGCTTTTGTGAGTTCATCACATACATATGTAGTAATTTACTACATATTGGAACAGGATTTATGCACTTTTTCTGTATCAGTACGAGTTTTTTCTGTCAAAAAATCGCTGTTTTTGGCCGCAGCATTACATAACTTTCTCAGCACTAGGTATAATACATATATGAAAAAGTAAAAAAAATAAAATAAAAAATTTTACAAAAAGATATAAAAGATGAGAAGCACTTTTCATATCAATTTGTAAATTTGCAGGCAGAGAATGTATAGTAAATAACGTGACCAATCAAAATGTACATAAAAGGCAGGAAAACGTAAAATGCAGGACTTAAAAATGGGGTTTTACTGTATTTTCCTACACTTATTTCCTGCATATACTTCTCACCAGGTCCTTTGAAACAAGTGGTTTTTATTCCTGCAACATCATTCTTTCAACTCTGATTTGACTGCATTGGTCATGCATAAAAAAATGATTGTGACAGCAATATTTTCCACTTAGATGATGTAGAAGTAGAACAAGAGGCAGGGAAATTCAGTGAAATTTTTAATTATTTGAATTAAACTTGAAATAATCCATTTTGTAACAATTATGCAGATGTATTTCATAATGGTTCTCAGCTTATATTCACATGAATACTGTCATTTCCAAATGTCGCTTAAATAAAAGCTTGTTTTTAATTACGTTGCAATGCTTTTTTGTGAATTTAATCCCAAGGTGAGAACATTACATTTCCCCCAGAAAAGTCAATTGCAAAGTGAGCAATAACAGACTTCTCTGCTTCTGTGTCTTATTTAATACTTTTCCTGCATTCAACCTTTTTTTCTATACATAATTTCGGAAAATAATAGATGGAGGTTCCACTAAACACTAAATCCTTATGATACTTTCAAAAGTTGAAAATTTATGTTTCTAAAATTTTGTATCTTGGAACTGTTTTCAAACTCTTTCCAATTTCGGAGGAGTTAATTACAAGACTTCAAATCTCTCCTCTATCCTCTTCCTGCTTCTCTCTTCTCTCTTTATTGAACTAGCTTATGTTTTAAACAGCATCTGAATATTTAAGGGAGGTTGTCTTTGAAATAATACCATATCTGGGAGGAAAGTGAAGAGATGTTCACTATTAATTTATTTTTGAAGTAAATTTTTCAGAGGTTCTTTGAATATACATGTTCTAACACCTGATTGTAATGAAAATCAGTAATGTGTACAGTTAATGACTGAAAATTGATATATTTTTCCTGAAAGGTGGCAAATTTCCAAATATATTATACTATGTTTAGACATGTGAGCTTTTATTTTGACTTGTTATTTCTAGACAGAAATCAATGTTATTTGTGGAAATTCTTTTCTAAGAAATGATATTACGGGGCATTCAAGATCGAACAGGAATAATGGGCAATTGTTTGTTTTTTTTTATCATGTTTGGCCACCTGTGAAGAGATCCTGTACAAAGATCTTTCCTCTGCAAACTTTCATTTCTGACCTCAGAATTTTCCTATATTGAATTTAATGAAAAAAAAAAATTGATTTATATTCTGTTACACAGTTGGTACACAAGTTCCATTAATATTGCTGTTGTTTCTACAGAAACATCTACAGCCAGCATTTATTTTTACTCTGCACATTTTATTATATGATGTTGATCAGCTTCTTAATTTTATCATAAGTGTGTGTTTGTCTATGGATTTAAATTTTATTAATTTTGTTTTTGCTGCTTGTGGTTTTGAATTGGAATTGCATTGCATGATAATTGCTTGTTTGGATGCTTTTATGCACGGCTGTGGCTTTTATTGCTGAAATTGTGGTTACCCTTAATGTTCCAAGATTCAGCAGTTGAAGAGATGAGTTATCATGATTAAATTTCAAATTTACAAGTTGAATACACAAACAAGACAGGCAGTGTTGGCAAGAAACAACACTTTTATGTTGTCCATAAAATACAGTGAATGATTTGATCTGAGGAATATTTGAGAGGAACTAATTAAAGTATGAAATTATTATGATTTTGACTTAATTACAATTAGGAAAAGTTCTTGATAAAGCAAGCAAGAATTCCTTCTTCATTGTATATGTTGGTATGTGCTGCCCTTGTCTGCCAATTGCAAATTGGAGCATTTTCATTACTGAAGTAGTAGGTTGAGAATAGTCAGCATCAGATCTTTTGGAGATTATAACTCGTACTATTATAATTGTTTATATAAGTATCAAAAGACCTGACTGTACAGCCAACTGAAATTACTCTAATATTTGTTGCATCCTCCAAATCCATGTGCTATTGAAATCGTTTGGGAGTGCGATGTATGCCATATTGGATTTTAAATGATATACAAGTTTTACACATGGAAAAAAAAAAAACTCTTTCAACAATCTCGTGTGTCAGACTACAAAAACCGCTAAAGGTGTAGAATCTAGTAAAAATTTCACCTAGTGCATATCTTCTTCAAAACATTGTGCATTGCAAAAATTTTAAAATATTGACTAAGCAAAATATTTAGCGGTGTTTGACATTCAATGCTTTCTCTTGTTAGTCTCCACCTTCTTGATTTCTAAGTAACCTTACATTGCCTGATTATTCAAAACATGAGACAGAAGGAACTTCAGAAAGACAGTGGTGAAAATCATAGACCTTTTGTCTTTCAGTTGGGTAAAAAGATGGAGATTCACCTTAAATATTGATTTACATTCTTTGTGATTGAAAACCTGTTGTAAGGTTTAACAGTTGGTAGTGTTTAACCTCACAATAGGTGCCATCTTTTGAAATATCAATATTTGTGGTAGATTGAGAGTTTGAATGTAATTAAATGTGGATAAAAAACTAACCTACAAGTAAAATAAAACAACTAAGAATAGACTCTGGCACTTCCTAGCCATTTAGTATCAAAAAGTTACATAAGTTTATATGTAATATAACGTAATATTTATTATTGAAAAAGCAGAGTCACTTAACACTGTTCACAAACCATTTACTTAAGTGAGATTGAACAAAAATACATGGGGAAAATTATCTTCTTTCTAAATAAAAACATTACATAATAATGTAATGTTTAATATTTATTTATTTGAATAATTCACAGACTAATAGTCCATGTAAAAAGAAAAAAAAAACATTCACATAATTAAATTCCAGTAGTTCATTACATGCATTATTAGTTTTAATGCAAGCTAATAATGAACATATTAGATTATATATAGCATAAAATAAATAAAATGTAAACGTGCTGAACATGCATTTGTATTAACAAACTGGCTATGTGTGTGTCCATCAATCCTTGTCTGATGATGTTGAGAATCATTTATTTTATTTAGACATATCTAAGAGATTGGTTAACTTAAAAATAAATGACATCATAGAATAGTGACTATTTATTTGATGTATATACTTTTCAAACTATGATGTCATTTATTTCTTCAGAGTATTAAAAGTATTTTAGTCTTTCAAACTTTGTGTGTAAAATCCATCTGATATTGCATACATTTGCCAGCTGCTGAGTAGGTGATAAAGGGGGGAAGATGTATTTTTAATTAATTAACTTTTTATTAGCAGTATTAAAAGTAATACTGTAAACTTGGTTTGGATGCAAGTTAGTTTTCCTAATTTTATAGTGTACACCAATTTGATCTTCAAATGTTCTCTTAATTGGTGTGATTGTCACATCTAACACTTGTTACAGAAGTTGTCATAAAATCTGAACAGTTGAAACAACTTTCTTTCAAATTAAATTAATATACAATTTGTACTTAC